CATTTCCAGTGCAGTGGCATGGAGGTTCTACCCAGAAGGAGAGACAAGCCCTAAGGAACAGGTCTTTGTAGCTTTACCTGCAGACTTTGTTTAGAAAATAGCCTGCAAGGTGCATGCCTAAGGGCTTGGTTGGAAACTGGAGAGTTTGGTAATCAGCAGTTCAAACAGGGAAGGAGCCCTGGGAGAGTCCCAGCATCAGATTCCTCCTGGGGTGGGAAGCTGTGTGCTTGTGCTAGACTCTTCTCACTCTAGGAGTCATTAGAGCAGGGCTGGGGCAAACTCCAAAGCATGCCAGAGATATGCAGCCCTTCAGCCATGCCAAAGCCTCACTGGCCCAAGGGGCTTTAGAGCCATCTCTGATCCACCTGACCAAGTGGAGAGTCCTACAAAACTGAGCTTGAGTGTGAAGTCACAACTATCTGTCATGTGGAAGGCTAAGTGCCCAAAGTCGTAGTTCCAGTAGTGCACCGAGAGCCCTTCCAAAGCTACTTCCCTGGGTATACCCTGTTTTCTCATGAGAATCTTCAGCCATCCTAATTGTTTCCTCCTGTGTTAAAGAAATGTCTGCATGCCCCTGTTCATTCATTGCAGCACTCTTCACAGTAACCACTGTGAAATCAACCTAAGTGCTCACCAGTAGATGAATGGATGAAGACAATGTGGTGCAGACTCAAGAGAATTCTGTCCCACCTTCAGAAAGAAGGGCTCAGGGTCATTTGTGACAGCACGATGAGCCTGTAGGATATAATGCTGAGTGAAGTAAACCAGACACAGAAAGACAGACATAGCATGTTCTCAGTTACTTGTGAAATCTGAATCTGCTGAACTTATAGAGGCAGAGAGAGTGGTGGTCACTACAGGCTGGGGCTGGGGACAGAACCTCAGATGGGAAGAGTAAGTTTTTTATTTTATATAATGCTAATTATATAATTCAGAAATGCTAAGAGTAAATTTTAAGTGATCTCTCCCCAAAATGAGAAGTGTTTGAGGTGATAGGTATGTTAATTAGCTTGATTTAATTATTTCACATTGTATTCATTAATCCTAACATGGGACATGGGATTGAACCTGGGGCCTGTGCATGCTAGGCAAGTTCTGTACCTCTTAGCTACACCTTCTGCCCTCACGGTATCATTTTGCAATCCGTAAATATATGCAATTTACTAAAAAAACAAAAATAAAGTTGGATTCTTAGCAAAAGGTAAGCAAAACTTTAAAAAATAGATTTATGAACTCATACATTTTAACATGCCTGTTACCACTTGTCACGGTCAGACTGTCCCTTTGATGGTGGATTCCCTTGGAGTTGCTTCATGCTCCAGGTGTGTGAGCTTTCCTTCCTGTTCTTCCAGCGTTCTCCACACAGCTCAGACTCCTCAGCCTTTTCTTTGGGCAGATCTTGCTTGATTTCTTTATTTCTTTTTTTTTCTTGGAAGAAATAATTTGTCAAGAGTATGATATTATCAAATTTCAGATTAAAGGATTTCTGCCTCTTTAATTTATATTTGTATCTCTTATGTAGAAAGTTTTGCTTTTCATATTTCCCATATAATTTTTCAAATTTTAGTTACCACAATGTTATACCTGAGTAATTGTGTGAAGAACAAATTTCACATTTTGCTTTTCAGTCCACAGATCACTATGTAGGCAGCGCAGGTGCCATGCAACGTGTGCAGCAGCTGCTTCACTTTTTTTAGAGTCTGTCTGTGACCCTCCTTGCACGTTGACATGTATGTGCAGTTCAACACAGACAGCAAAGCATGTAACTAGTTGTGTTACTTCTTATCAGGGAATGTGCCTTTTACCACCAACACAACTTTACTGATCCAGCCTGGATATTGAGGCGGTATGTTAACTTTTTAAAGCCCATCTTACATGGACTTTTGGACTGGCTACTGTCACTATAACCGGTAATCGTGTAGTTCTTGACATTTTGTGTGTCAGAAAACACACAGTTCAAGCATGGTGGCAGGAAGTGACAATGAGTATGGTATTTAAGACTTGCAGAAACTTCTTAACCATCTCAGTAACCCCAGGCAGCTGAGAGCAACTGGAGCTGCAGAAGGAATGGGTTACCATAAGAATGTCTATATTACTGCCCTTCCAAGAGACCAGTGGTTTGCAGCCAGGCAAATATAGCGAGCAGCTTCTTAACATAAACAGAAAAAATCATTGTGATGAGGAAGATGAAGATGTCCTGAAGGACGTGATACTGACAAAAACTCCATCTTAAGTCTGGCATGGCATCTCATGTCTGTAAATCCCAACAACTTGGGAGGCAGAAATAGGTGGATCTCAATTTTGAAGCCAGCCCAGGCAGTTAGTGAGACCATATCTTAAAATCAAAAGGACTCAAGTGTGGGTCATGTTGTAGAGAGCTTGCCAAGCAAGTTTGGAGCCCTGGGTTCAATGTACTGTTACCCCCCCTCCCCCCGCCAAAAAAACCAAAAAAAATCCACCAACAAAAAGCCCTTCATCTTAAAGGTACTCTGTGTATTTCATCACATGGGAAGCCTCCAGGATAAATGTTGTAAACTAGTCCCAACTCCTGTGGAGCATGGCATTGCCAAGACTCAGAAAAGATGCTTGCTTTGTACTGTAGTTGTGTGATGAAAACAGAGAGGCAAAACAGTGTTCATACTACTGTCAGATATCAAGAAAGACACTGTCATTCCCATATTTCTTCTGTTTTAACTTACCATGTACTCAGTCAGTATTTGTTTTGTTTCTTCTGTTTCCCTGTACATTTATTACTGGTAGGAAGAGAGTTTCAGTGGCCTGGTAGGTTTTTGATAGTCATAGAACAATTGTTCTTTTCCTGTTGGTTAAGATCACATTTCGTGAATCTAGATGGACAATCATGTTAACTGCACAGAGCTGGAACAGCCTCTGTCCTCCTGCTGTGCTTATATATGTGCATGATAAGTTTCCAAGTAACAGTACCAACTTTACACTCATGATAAGGTGACTGAATACTGCTTAGATTTACCTGCAGTTTCTTTCTCAGAAGGTACAGTCTCACTACTGTTTGTTAAGTTGCATGAGGGTTTGTAGTCCTGGACAGAGGTTATGGCACCATTAGTCTTTGGATCTTCCCAAATCCCTGCCACAACAGGCACAGAGCTGGTGATCCCACAAGGACCATACTAGATGCCTGTGGCTAGCATAGGGCTGTGAGAAGAGGAGTTACCACAAAGAGTCACTTTTGCTGATCCCAGGTGTGTCTTCATGCTGACTAGTTTCACAGATGTGTGCATGCAGTCACACACCACATAATGATATCTCAGTCACCTGCAGACCATGTCTTATGAGGTTGACCTTGAAAGAATGTAAAATACTGGTTTTGCCTAGTGGCATTGTAGCCATTGTACTATAGGTCAATGCAGATACGTGTGTCTGGGGTGCTACTTGTGTAACCAAACCCATGTGCTGCCATTGTGTAAAAGTGTATTGTACGTAGTGCTTGATGATGACAGACGACTGTGTTTACTCACTTACCTCTTTATTGCACTGTACTTTTTATTGTTATGTGAGAGAGTGCTCCAGTTTAAACAAGAGTTCACTCTAGCAGCAGTCTCATATGTACCTCTCACATGTCTCTTGATTGCATCAAGGGACCAGTGCTGAGTAATTGATGTATAAAAAAATTGCCTAATAGCACCTTTCTCAGAACATACCCTTGTCATTAAGTGACTTGTGGCCATCTAGTCTTATTAAGAGTATACTGAACAGACCAGAAACAAAGTTTAGCCTTGTAGTAATAAGAGTCTTGCAATATCACACTGTAAGGAAACTATCAAAGTTTACTAAGTTCATATCACCAGGACTCAGTGCCTGCCAATTGTGGGACAATTTGAGATTCTATAATAATAATTGTAATGATAGCAGCATTGTATTAAAACTTACCAAACTGGTCCTGGAGCCTCTGGACAGAGCTGAGCCTTCCTTTGTGATGTGAGCTGGCCTCTGGGCACTGGCGCATGGGGATCAGGAGTGTGCCATCAGCCCAGTGCAGACCCAAACCTTATAGCAGAGAAGTCAGGAGCAGAGGGGACCTAAAGATTAATAGTGAGGTTGATGACATCCTGTGGTGTGTTAGCCATTGGTGAACAATAATGCATATCCAGGACATATAGGTGCCCATAGTGTGCCTTCCCAGCAAGGGAAGGAGGCTCTGATGGGGAGGGTCATGTGGAGGGCCTTCTAAGGGGGCCTTGCAGTTATTCACAGGGTGTTTTCCTTTTAATGATTCTTAGGTGTAACAAGGCTTGTGTAGCTTTTTGTAACTATTTTATTTTAGAATTTAAAAAATTTTTAAATCCTCAAAGTTACCTGAATGAATTCTCTCTGTGATTAAACTATGATTTGTTACCTTTATTTGCTTCCTTTTACTTTTTAGGAATTTCTTTTTAAAGTTTGGTATAGTTTGTTTTTTTTAATTAGATAGAGTGTATATGATTTCAAACAAGCAGTATAAAATACGATACAATCAAAGTCTAGCTTCTATCTCCCCTCCTCTGTCCCTTCCTGCCTTTATAGGTATGATGCACACACGGACAGGTATGCGTATGCATGGATTCACACTCAAGTGCATGCATATACAAGGCACAGAGACGCACAGATGCACATGTACACACATAGCTACATGCGCATAGGTAGACATAAATAGACATAGATATATACACATGCATTTACATAGTGTGTACACACAGATACCACATACAGATATACATGTCAATTCACATACACATACACAAACACACACAAAGAAAACTTCAGTAGCCAAGAGCATCAAGGAGGGCATAAGTAATTAAAAATGATATTACTTGAGTCAAGTAATATCATCTGGCATGAAAGCTTGCTCTTGGGACTATCTGGATGTGGTATTTCTAGATCCTGCTGTGCTGGGATCTGCTTTGGGGGATACCTGTCACCTGGAAAAGTTGAGAAACTTTTCCAGCATACTTCAGAGTAGTGACTTTGTCTCCTCTATCTCCAAGGTTCGTGTTTTATTCGAACTGACCAGCTAGATGGTGAGACTGACTGGAAGCTGAAGGTGGCAGTGAGCTGCACACAACGGCTGCCGGCCCTGGGGGTGAGCACTTTCAAGGCTACGTGCCCTTTTTGTTTTTAAGGATGTTTATGTTGATATCTGCTATCTTACTTAATAAATTGAGAATTCTCTGTATCATTTCCTGTTCCTTAGGAAGGGTCATTAAAGATGATGTCAGGGTAATTTCTGTGGTTTCTTAACACATGACCTATCTTAGGTAATTTTGAATGTTCATATTGGCTTGACACTTAGGTGGGTTTTTGTTTTGTTTGTTTTTTTACTTTTTTTAACAATCTTTCTTTCATGATTTTTAACATTGTCAGTTGGATAGAGATTCCTCCCTACCAGCAAGTGAAGGCGTTGGTTTTGGAGATCAGCATTCAGACCTGGGTTTAGCTCAGTCTTTGAACCCAATGTGTCCTACAACATTTTTTTCCGAAGGACAGAAGAACTTTTTTGACCTGGAGGCAGTGTGCTGCCATATCTTAGGCACTTTCAGACCCTGGTTTGCCCTTGCTGAGTATTGGTTTGTACCCGACAAGGGTGCTTGGGGTTCATCAGAGAGCAGAATCATGGATTTCTGCATTTGTAGTGATCTCTACAATGTCCCTCTCAGACGCCAAGAGTCTTCTAGGCTGCTGCTGTCTGTCTTGCACTCACTCTCACTCTATCTATTTCTATTTCTATTTCTCTCTCTCTCTCTCTCTCTCTCCTCTCTCTCTCACACACACACACACAACAAAACCACAATTTGAGCTACCTGGTGGTTATTTTGTGTTAGTGTATATATAGTATCTTTATAATATCTAGCTGACTGTGAAAAGTTTTGTCTTACATGATTTGCTGGTATTCTGTGGATAGTAAAGAAAAACAGATTGTCCAAGAGTGACCTTTACCCAAGCAGCATTGGCCAAGGGAGAGTGGGTGCCTCAGGTGAGTCCTCTCCATTGTCAGCTATGTTAAGGTAGAAGTAGTTGCTATGCTGCACACAGCTTAAGATTACCATGGACAGCAGGGGCCTCCTCATTCTTGTGTGTGCTTGACTTCCTGGAAACTAAGTATGTTTGACATAGGTAGGACTTCTAGGTATTTTGCTTATTCAGGTATATTAGTGTTTCCTATATTTTAGGTAGTTCTTGAGTTAGAATTTATTCCTTATATGTTTTGTATCTTTTCCAAAGCCAGTTGTACTCCAGTGAGAAGTTCTTATTCCTTCCTTGTCTATGTACTCAACATCACATGGTCCTGTGTGGTCACCAGCCACTGTCATTGCCTCCTCTTCTTCTTCCAGCTTGTGTTTTGTTTTTATTTTGTTTTCCCCATCTTTGGTGACTGGAGTAAGTTCTTGCCTGGGGTGTCATACAAATGAGTCTGTGCTAGGCTTGGATCACAGGCCCTGAGCTGGAGAATGGCCCTTCTCAGCTGATCAGTGGGCCTGTGCTGTGTTTTCATTATGGCTTAGAAGAAGAAACTCCTACTTCTCCTACTTTATTCTTTCTTTCTTTTATTTATTTATTTGATTTTTTGAGAGACAAGGTCTTGCTATGTAGCCCAGGCTGACCTTATCAAATTCTTCATCCTGAGTACTGGAACTACAGACATATACCACCATGCCCGCCTACTTTTTAGTATATAAACATTAAGACAAGGCCTCTTACTAGCAAGGCTTCTTCCCTCAGATCAATTCTTGAAAGTAGAATAATGAGGAAAAAGAATAACAAAATTCAGATTTTTCTAAATTATCTCAGAATGGAGTTTTCCCAAAACATTTGTAACTAACAACACATGGTTTCTAGGTATTATGGTTTAAAATAGTTAACATAATCTCAAAAGGAAAAAAATCTCAGTTTGATAGAGAATGTGGCTATTCACTGTTTTAATTTGGTCTTCTTTGGTTATCAACAGGACTGGAGGTTTTTGCCATGTGCTTACTAGAAATCTGTATGTGTTATTTGGTTGTTTGCTCCTCACTTTGCCATTTCATATTGGTGTTTGCCACTTGAAAATTATATATATGCATGGGTATATCATGTGTGTCAAATTGATAAAATCAGATAAAGCCCACCTTTCATTTAGAGAGGCCTAGAAGTATTTCCCTCTGTTTTTGTAGTAAGCGTTGGAGATATTTTGCCATGCTGAGCGTTGAACCCATGGTCTTGCACATACATGCTACACTGAGCCACATCCCCAGGCCTTTCTCACACTTTTTCTGTGTATACCTTCTAGTCACCCTGTCCCCAGGTCAGAATTTTATTGTGGAATTGTCCAAGTTGTATTCTTGGTCAGGGTTTCTCAGTCAGACCTGGGTAACATACCAGTATGGTGGTTTGTTTTTATGGTCTGTTAATTTTCAGTGTTCAAGGATGGTTATTTAAATTCCGTAGCATATTTTATAATGTTTATATGTTCTGAGCAATTACAACTCTTCCTATGGTTATTATATGAGGAAAGTCTCCTGGACCAGCTGATGAAGGGATTACAGGAGTTAGGCTTGGCGTTGACTCCTCTGTTGGCCAGCTGACTTTTACCATCTTCCCAGTGGGTGGGGACAGCTGGACAGCTATCATAGCATGAAGCCACGAGTGAAGGAGCAGCTCTTTCCCACCCAAGGGCCATAGAGGGAAGTGCATGCAGTCTCCTGAGTCATAGGATGGTTGTCAAGGAGACTGTTGAACTGTTACCCAGAGTGGCAGTACTGTTACACATTTCTAACAGTGGTGGATGAGAGAGTCAATTTCTCTGCATGCTCATAGACAGCGCTGTCACCATTTTTAATTTAGTCATCATGACAGTGGTGTGTTGATACCTCATTGCGGTTTTAATTTGTCTTTCTGAAATGGCCCATATTGTTTTGTGTGCTTGTTCACTATTCATATATCCTCTGGTGAAATGCCTGTTCACATCTGTTTAGGGTCTTTTATGTAGAAATCCTAGAATTCTTCCTGATTGTAACACATACAGAGAAGACCTTGAACTTTATTTTACGATTTGGGTACACAGCTGTGTTTCTTCACTTGCAGTATTACGCTAGTCTCATGTCAATTGAATAGAAGTGGTGAGACCACTTACTCCGTCCTGTTTCAGTCTTGGGGAGCACACTCAGCTGTCTGTGTGGTGATAGTAATTGGGCTGTTCATAGGTGTTCTTGATCAGGGGGATGAAGTTCTTCCTAGTCCTAGTTTATTCAGAGACTTTGTCTGAATTGTTTGCATTGGATTTTTTTTTGTTTGCATTGGATTTTTCAAAGACTTTCCTGTATCCGTGGAGATGACCCCCATAGGGTTTTTTTTCTTTATTAATATTTTAAGTTGATGATCTTATAGTGATTTTGTTGTTTCATGGACAACACGATGAGATAAGCCCTGTTTTGTCATGACAAATATCCTTTTCATATATTGCAGTATTTGATTTGTTCGTGAAGGGTATTGTTCTGCACTGGTTTTGCTTAATATTTTTGGTTTGATACTAGGGATATACTAGCCACATAAAACGATTTCAAGAGTCTTTTTACCTCTTACACTTTTTTAGTAATTGGTGTTGTTTCTTTTTTTTTTTTTTTTTTTTATCTGTTGAACAAATTTCTCAGGGTTTCTGAGGGGTAGTGTGTTCAGTTATGAGTTGAATTTCTTTAATAGATGTAGAACTGGAAATTTTTCAGCAGTTTATAGTATGAAATTCCTTAGCTAGTAATTTCATCATCTGTCATTTCTGAATATATCTCTATTTAGAATTTTTGTACTTGCATCTGGCTGCTGGTGGCTCACATCTGTAATCCTACCTACTTGGGAGGCTAAGATCAGGAGGATCATGGTTCAAGACTAGCCTGGGCAAATAGCCCACGAGACCCCCATCTCTAAATAGCTAGAGCAAAATGGACTGGAAGCATGTCTCAGGTGGTAGAGAACCTGCTTTGTAAGTGTGAAGCCCTGAGTTCAAATCCCAGTATTGCCAAAACAAAACAAAACAGCCCAACAACGGAAAACCTGTTCTCTTCCCAGCTCTGTAGCCTGTGAGGATAAGGTAGTGGTCACTGTCCTGGCAAGTGCATGTCGATATGGGTAGCAAAAGCCCCTGGGCCCTTTGCAGATTTCTGCAGCTCTTGGCCTCCCCGGCTCCTTTCCAGCATCCGTAAACACTACAGTCCCGATTTTCCTGAGCTCTTATCTCTATCTCTGAGATTCAGAGCACCTGCCTCCTCCTCCTGTCTTGTGGGTATGCGTCCAGTGGGGGCACATAGTTGTGAATCTGTGCTATTGGAGGTCACCGTGTCCAGTCTAGAAGTGACTGTTTGATACATTTTGTCCATTTTCAAGTTGTTTTCAGTGGAAGGGCAAGTCTCATACTAGTTAATACAACCTTGCTGGTGGAAAGTAAGTGCCATTTGGACTAAATGAGCTGGATGACATTTCTGTTATAACTAAATTATAAAAGAGAAGTACTCGTTTCTTGAGGATTCCTCCTGCCTGGAGGATTGTGTCTGTCCGGCAGAGGGCATCATCTCTGCACTCTCCTGCCTTGGCTGCTCCTCAGCTTTCTATCCTAGGTTGCATTCCTTCAAAAGGAGTGAAGGGTTGTTTTTCACTAGTGGTAAAACAGGAGAAGACCCTTCTGGTCACTGCATTGTGCAGGCCGCTGCTCTCCGTTTCTATCAAGTGTTCTTCTTCCCCTTGCCACAGATCGGCACTGTGGGATGGAGCCATCCATCTGTGCTATTTTCCCATTAGGGCATTTATTAAAGTACATGTTTTAGGTCAAGTTTTATATAAGATTTGACAAACTTTATTTATTTATTTTCCATACAGGGTCTTCCTGTGTAGCCCAGCCTTTTAGGTGCTGGGATTATAGGTATCTGCCACCATGCTTGGCAAATTTTATAAGTTTAATGTGGATTTTATTAATTTTTTAATAAAAGTTCAGCATACCTATATACTAGGTTTTTTTTTTGGTTTTTGTTTTTTTTTTTGCCAGTACTGTGGTTTGAACTCAGAGCCGCATGCTTTGTTAGGCAGGTGCTGTACTACTTGAGCCACTCCACCAGCCTT